AAGTGCCTCTGGTACCTAGTTTTAAATGCACACACCCATGTTTTGGGTCCTCCTGTTTGTGTTTCAGTGTTGCTTTGACTTTGTCAAAGGCTAAAAAGATTCAGCCTCTCAGTCCAGGATATATTCCTTTAAGTTCCAGTATGTTCTGGTGTGCATCTGTTTTGATTTGTTTGAAACTTGAGCCGATACTGTATCTCCTGGAATCAAAGTACAGTGGTTCAGACTGCTATTCTGAGGCATCATTGTCACAAACAAGTGGACTTCTCCCTGCACTGATCATCACTAAACACTTAATGGAGTTGGCCCAGAGACGTGGTGGGATCTGGCCTTTTCTGTCCTGCAGAGCTGGTCAGCAATTCTGAGGCCAGTTGACACACAAGTATTGTTGGAAAATGGAACTGCACCCTCCATGGCTTGGCACAGTGTTATAAATTGAGTGTGGCTTGGCTGTGTACCTTTTCTGTGGTTTTAAAGTTTAAATTCCAGGAGTTGAAAATCTTTAGCCTGTGTTGTGTAATATTCATTGATTATTATTTTTTTTTTTCTGCGCTTCTGTTGCCATGATGTGCTGCAGGGCCGGTGTCCTGTCCCATATGCTCATCTCTCTGAAGGCGCTTGACCTCTGCCTTGTAGCAGGGTGAGTCCTGTGTGTGCTACAGCCACTTAAGCCAGCAGACCATCTGTGTGGTTGCTAATAAGACCAGCAGACGCACAGACCCACAGTCCCAGTACACTGCAGTACAAGAGGGCACAAGACCCTGCAGACAGCCCTTAATAAAGAATCTTTGAATGTCCCCCATCTGGGTCCTGCTCTGTAAAAACAGAAGTCCGATCGGTCTCTATTTTCTCATGCAGCAGCTTTTAATGAAGACTAGCTAGCTGCATGAGAAAAGCTAGCTGAAAAAATTCCAATTCATCATGATTATAAAACAGTCACCAACAGTAAAACCTAAAAGTGTGCAGTGGTAATCGCAAAGCAACACCAGCCATGAAAATTGGTTTAAGCAGAAGAAAGTAAAACATTAAAAACAAACCAGAGCTGATCATGTTAGGAAAGTGGGTGGGCCAGCCAATTGACCTTAATTCAATAAAGGCTAATTCGCTTTTTCGGTTATTAATGTCAGTCTTTAGAAGGAGCCACGGTCAGTGATTTTTTTCTAAAGGGATTTTGTGGTTAGGGTTATATAAGGTCAGATTGTTTTCAACTAATGGGCAAAATCATGCTTAAGTTTCGGGAATTCAGCTCAGAAACCCAGGAACTGAGATGTTTCAATGGCACATTGAAATCCTGCAACCCTGCCTCGTTTCTTAGTTCTCTTCTTTCTCGGCCGTCCTCCTGCTAAGAGGCTGATGGCGACAACCATCTTCCACTGAAGCTTCTAAACAGATTCACTCTTCCGCAGACAGCTGTGTGCCAGTCGAGCTGCTTTACTGCGAAACCGTTGAAGACGAAGAGGTGCCAAGAGTCAAGCAAGGAGATCTTTATCGCCAGTCTTCTTAGTATTGTTCGTAGAAATCTGTTTTTAAATTTGACAGCACCCCACCCTGTGGTTTGTCGCACTGTGCTTTAAAATCCTTCAGTAAATTACTTTCTTCTGCTTGTTGTAGAATCTAAGTGAGATCACACTGGATATTACGTTAGTAATATCAGTCTTTAAGGTTTTAAGTGCGTTTTTATCCACTCTGCGATTTGTTTTGCTGAAAATTGCAGCTTTGTGATGGGGAGCTGCCATTCAGAGGTTGGTCCCTGTGACACGTTGGATGCAGTAGTTGCTGCAACGCCCTCGAGAAATCCTCCAGAACAGATGCCTTTGCACAGCAGGTTGTAATCATAAACCAGACACCTCCTGCAAACAGAAGGGAAATGAGGCATGAAGCGCACAGATACCCAGAAGGATTGGAGGGTGAACACCGAATGAGATGGGGAGGGTGCTGGGTGGAAAAGACGGCAAACAGTGTGGTGCTGATGTCACCTTAACTTAAAAACGTGTGCAGTGGATGAGGACAGGACTGTATGTAGGGTTTGGATTTCCTTCCCTCTGCGACTGAGCTGTGTGTATAAGAAGCAGTTGGTGCTGCCGCCTCATAATTCTTAGGTACCAGTTCAATTTTGCATGCGGGCACCTTCTGTGTGGAGTTTGCACGTCCTGTCCCGTCTGGTGGGGGTCTCTGGCTTCACCATCCCATCAATGTTTCTGGGTGGGTTAAAGGGCGTCTCTGTAGCCATGGGATCGCCCTGCAACAAAATGACCTCCCTTCCAGGGTGAAATTCCTCCTTGCACCCTCTGCTTTGGGGAATTTGGTGCAGACCTGATCAGGAATCAGGTGGGATTCTTAAAATGGTCTCCTTAATAAAATTGCTCATTTTAATAAATGCCTTTTTGAAGATGGATGTAGAAATGTAGGCAATTTTCTTTAATTGATCTCTGCTTTTAAGCACTTGCTTGTGATTGGTCTTTGTTTGCTTAGCACAACCTGGCCTCTGATTTGTTGTCAACTGCAGGTGTAGGTAAAACTCAGTGCTCTACCACACACCTTCACTTCTTTTGTGTATCTAACCCAGTCAGGCTCTAGGTTATGGCAGGTTATGGCAATAGCTAATTGTGAACTCAGCATAATGACTTCCAGAAAGTTATTACTTTGAAAACTGTGCCTTGGAAAGCCACAGACATCTGCAAAGCCTTTTTTTTTTTGTAAATGTCTTTCTGAGCGAAGGGGGAGGAATGGTTCCTACAGTTCATACAGTTTTCCTGTCTAAATAATAATAATTGTCGAAATGCTTTGCAGCTGGAGGGGAAGTGAGATTAGCTGCCTTTTGAGCTCGGAAACCCCTCGTATCTGTCCAGCGTTATCAGCAGTGAGGAGCCCTTGTGTGCCTGGCCATTGTGAGTTATGTCATCCCATCTCCTTCCGTTTTAAAGACATCTGGCTGCCTGGCGAGTGCAATGAAGTCTTATTCTGTCAAGATCCTAAGTCTTGTTACACATTATTTTAAAACTAGACCACCGACTATACTAAGGTGGAAGAACTGTTGAACGAAGTTACTGCTATAACCTTCTGTTCTGGTTTGACGTTAGGCTGTGCAGTTTGCAGGTTTATTTTTTAAATTCAACTAAATCTGTTTTTCCATGTATGTGAAATAATTGCATCACGCTTCTTGGCAAGGAGTTAATGCTCTTGCAGAATGATTCATGTTGTCTTACACTTGCTAATCTATTTAACGCGCTCTTCCACCAAAGTGTTTATTTCTCCTGGAAAAGCAGTGCGTTTACTGAGTTTGGCTGGAAAGGCCCTAGGCTGGTTGTAAGCACCGTGTGTGGTGTTCTGACAGAGCTTGGGAAGAACTGCAGAGATCTGCCACTTTTGCAAGAATCTAAACTATCCGAGCCTTCATACAGTATCCAGTTACGCAAATCATTAGGTCTTTTCTTGAGACAAAAAACAAGGCACTAAAAGCATGAGAGTCTGCACAAAAGCATTTTGTCACTGGGCAGTTCTGATTTGTACTCCTTTCATTTTTGTTCTTTACTTGCGGTTTCTGCTTTTCTACAGCATGGAGGCAGATTCACTCTGACAGGTTGTTCTGGCTAGGGATGTGTTAAATGTTCTTTACTCTTTATCTCTCCCCTGGATTGAGCCCAATTTAATCTGGTCACAGGGCTCCCCCTGGTCTCCGCCACTGTCCTGAGCTCACGAGTTCATATCCGTCTCGGGAAGTCTTGGAATCCGAGCCCTCATTTCCCCTCACATCTGGCCACAGAGCAATTAGGCTCTGCAGTAGAGGGTACAGGATCTGTGGGGTAGAGTGCGCGATGCAGGTCGTTAGAAAACATGGGAAAGGAAGAATAAATCATCCGTTTTAAAACGAGGATTAACGAGGAACCTGGTCTGCAGCCAACTCTACTTTTTTTTTTAATTTAGTTTTTGCAAAATGTGCTGTGACTTATTTTGCTGTTACCTGTAGGAAGTGTGTGTGTATAGGCCAATAAATTTGCCATTTCTGATGACTATATTTTTTGGTCACGTGTTCTCCCACAAACCAGACTGTTGAAGAATGTTTTTATTATTTTTACGTTTGTTTCAGATTGTCACTTAAGGAGGACTTTGTGGGAGCCTCGGCTAACATTCTGTATTTACTGTTCCATACTCCCACAACCCTTTGTGTAAAGAAGTGCCTCCTGTTCTTGGTTTTTAGTGCACTTCCTCAGAGTTCCCACTAGCTGCCCTCTAATTTGTGTTTCACTGCTTGTTCTGACCACAGATGTTCATTAAAGAGATTTTAAATGAATTAAAGATTTCTCCTCCTTCGGAAAATCATTTTTTGGACTACTGATATAACTATACAGTATATAATGCTTTTATAAATTTATAACTAGTTAAATAACTTCCCTGTAGTGACCTTTGTCACTACAGAAAAATAAGATTAAGAATATTCCCTTCCTTGGAAACCAGGGCATAATTGGTTTTTAGGTTATTCAGGGTGGAAGAGAAAGTTGGAATTTTCTTCAAAAGTGTAAAACTGCACCTTTGAAGATGATCTTTCTCACTAGAAAATGAAGAGCTGTTATTCTCAATCAAATGAGGCTTTCTGGTTAAAATCTCTCTATCCAGCTGTTTCTTAGTGCATTGAGTTTGGATTGACACGTTCTCGTGTGGGAATTTGAAAGCAATGAGGCCTGACAGGAAATTGACAATCTCTTTTATTGCACCAACAGATTCCACACAATACATGGTCAGAATAATATCCAGGCCTCCTTGGGTGTTTAGCTGTATGCTGGCCCCCTGACAGATCTGATAGAATAATCCCCAATCAGTGTCTTTTCCCAGGAGTGATCAAACCGTGGCTCAGACTGCTTAAATAGGACTGTGTGATTCCTGTAGTCTTGTTCTGTTCACCGCACAGGTTATTTAAACCACCCACCAGGATTGTGGTTATACTTCGTGGGGTTGTGCGTCCAGACGTTCACTGCAAAACATGTGACTGTATTTTTCTCCGGCAGCACCAACGTGGTGATGAATTATTCAGAGATCGAATCGAAGGTTCGAGAAGCTACCAACGATGATCCCTGGGGACCATCTGGGCAGCTGATGGGGGAGATAGCCAGGTGAGTGCTCTCTCTGTTTTTTGTAGCAGTAACTAGCATACAGCTCTGCCTGTCTAACTGCAATAGACATCTCCCAACACAGCACTGCGGCAGTCACCTCATACTGTCTCTTCAGTACTGCTGTGACCTGTCTACCCAATGATCTTAGCTAGTATGCTGATAAAGCATACATAAAATGGGATAAACTTGAAATTATTTACATTTTTTAGCATTCAAACATAGAATTTCGATTTGAGTATCTTGGATGAGACTGTGAGATACTCTAAAGCAAGGTTTCAAATCAGAGGAGGCTGTTCTGCTCAAGTAACTTGTCTGTCTGCCAGTGGCGAGTCAACCCAGTGATCTCATTGGGCCATTTCTAGACGCACTTGGGAGTATCCTCTTCATCAGCATGGTAGGACAGCTTGTCCCAGACTCCACAGAGCCCCTTTGTCTTAATGCGCAGCCAGTCTTGATTTCCAGTCGTGAGTGTTTTTCTTGTTCTTCCCCAGATCCACCTTCATGTATGAACAGTTCCCTGAAGTGATGAACATGTTGTGGACCCGCATGTTGAAAGACAACAAGAAGAACTGGAGAAGAGTGTACAAGGTCTGCAAAAATCCCAGTGAATTCTCGAGACTTGGTTGAGCACAATAAAATCCTGAAGTGCAGAAAAAAACAATTCCGTTTGATAATTTACTCGGAAAACCATTGCTCCTGTTCTCCATTGGATTCAGTTGGCTTGCGCTGCTTTTGCAGTTTAGGGACGTTCAGTCTGTATGCAGACGGGTGAAAGATGCTTTCAGAGATTGGGAGGTGTAGCTCTGAAGGTGCTAAGCATCATTGTCAGTGTGTGGCTGAATGGAACAGTCACACATCATGTTCCTGTCTGTAGTTACTTGTCTGATGTCCTGGCCAGCTTTCTTGTGATGTGGAAAGATGGTGGTTGTGGTCTTGGAGCTTTTCATTGGATTGATGGATTTTGTGGAAGATCTGCTATTTTTCTGCCAGTCCTCAGAAAGAGAATGCAAGAGTTTTGGGGTGTGACTAACTGGTAATTGAGTGAATTAGAAGAGTTTCTCTTGTGTGAAACAATTTTATGTAAAAGCAAGCTTTCCAGAATTAGGAAAGTGATTTATTTTAACTTAAAGCTACTTTAATGTTCTGGGACATTCGGTAAAGAAAACTAGTGTAAATAAAGGAATGCTCACATTTGAAAAACTGATCACAATTTTTAGCCTTTATTGTGAAGGTGAAGATGGTATTTCTGACACTGCAGGTACCTGAGTATTTCTATAATGCTGAATTTTTCTTGTTTCTTTTTTTTTTCTATTTTCTTATTACATTTTTCAAATGCTTACCACAGCATTTGGTGGTCCACCTTCATTTTACCTACAGGAACATGTATTAATTGACATTAACATTAATTGAAAACATCCTCGGTATATACAGTAGTACAGTGGAATTTAGTTTCCTGTTTGTAATAGTTTTGCTTTTCCCTTGTTCCTTTAAACCTTGCAGATTTGCAGCTTTGGCATCAGTTTAATAAACTTTTAAATGTGCGTCGTACGATCCCTGGAAGCTCAGTGTTCTACCGAAAATTCAGTGGCCCTAATTAAAAAAAAAAGATCTGAAAGTTAAACACGCTGCCTTACTGCATAAGTATGAGCAAGGCAGTCTTTCACATGCTAGCGCTGCATCTTTCTTTTTCAAAAGGCCCTCTATACAGATACCAGCGAAGACTGCTTCTGCCTTGTGGATTAATTTAATCAGAAATTCATGACGCCCCTTAATTGTATACACTTGGCTTGCAACGGGGCCTGCCTGCCCTTTCAAACGCGTGCGTCTTCTCAGTAGAGGGCCATATTAGTCAGCGGACTTAGTTATGAAATTATGTGCAGCTGGTGCAAATGATGCAGCTGTCAGTTTTGATTAGACTGCAGAAAGGAGTGAAGAAAGAGAAGACATCTGTAGAATTGTTAACATTCTCCGCTCTGGGTATATTTGGAATAAACAAGCTTATGGATCCTGGCTGCTTTCGGCTATTCGGGGCGGGGGGGGGTGTTTGCTCTGGGAAAAAAAGTGTTCTTTAAAAGTATATGTGTATTTTTATTCTTCTCCTTCCCAGTCCTTACTGCTGCTGGCATACCTCATAAGAAACGGGTCAGAGCGAGTCGTGACGAGCGCCCGAGAACACATCTATGATCTGCGGTCGCTGGAAAATTACCATTTTGTAGGTAAGCATTAAAGGAAAGACAGGGGGGAGGTGGGTGGGTGGCAACTGGAGAGCAAATTACAGCAGGAGCCCAGGTTGTCAGTCACTTTCGATGCCTTTCGCTGATCAGATCCCCTGCACCAATTAGAATGTGCTCGTTGTCAGCTGTGTGGAGTGTGCGGATTCTAAGAAGGGGGACCCTAGAGTATTAATTAGTGAAGGCAAGAAGTCGACTGCTCGGACGTGGAAAATGGGGAAGCACTGGCTCAGTGTGAACGATTGTCTTTATACAGCGCATATATCTGTTTTTTTTTTATTCCATTTAAAATGAAGTACCACGAACGACGTGTCTCGGGTCTCGGGGGGACCCCACTTTCAAAGGTATAACTGTAATTGCACAGGGAGAGGAAGGTCGGGGCGCCTGAACGCCAAGCGATTCTGTTACACGTATCTTATCAGCAGCAAAGTGGACCGCGTGGCATGTAGCAAGAGAGATCAGCTCTCTGCGGTTGTAGTAGGCCCTCTCCCCCCTGGAAAGAGAAGCGCCAGGGTGGTCTTCGGAAACAGAAGACAATTGGTGGGGGAAAAAAAACGGGGGGTCGTAGATATTCCTCAAGTTTTGTTTTCGTGTTCCAGAGAGTTGCATTAACTCCCAGCCGTTAGGTCCTGCAGGTACCTGTTGCAAGGCCTTTTCTTAAGTGATCTCGCAGTTTTGACAGAGTGGAGGGAGTAAAAGCCCCCCCTGGTCTGGGATCCCTCATGCCTTTCCACAGGCTGAGCCAAGGGAACGATCGCAGTGCCTTTAAAAAGGTTTGCTGAAGAGCAAAGTCTATTTCGCCTCTTGCTGTGACATCGGAGCAATGCGATGGTCTCTGGTTTTGATTACAGTGTCGTCCTTAAGATTAATGGGCGAGTTTAAAGCACAGACACAGCGGGAGGTGCTGGCTTCTTGTGATGGTGTGAAAGCAAGCCTGGAACGCACCCCGTAGCGACAGTTTTATGTTCTGTTTCATATCATATGTGTGGGGGGGGATCTGGACAGTTCTTGGAAAGGGGGACCCAAGAAGAAAAAGCGTACTGATCCAAACTCTTTTTAATTCCGCAATCATATCAGGTTTTCAATGAGAAGCTGTGAATGTTTTCACAGGGGGTGAGCTTTCATGCCTTTAATTGAATTTTTTGGCCTCCTCTCTTTTCTAGACGAGAACGGGAAAGATCAGGGCATCAATGTGCGACAGAAGGTAAAAGAGATGGTGGAGTTTGTGCAGGACGACGACAGGCTCCGGGAAGAGAGGAAGAAGGCAAAGAAGAACAAGGACAAATATATCGGGGTCTCCTCTGACAGTTTGGGCGGGTTTAGATACAGTAAGTAATTAGCGCTTCAGTGATACCTGGGAAATCAAGCACCTGGACTTCGCTTAACTTCTTAAACCTAAGAAGTGTTTGTTTTTTTCAAACCCCTTTTATAAATGGAAGCTCAGGCCAAGAGTTTCTGGCTAAACCCTGGCTACGCTTGCTAACTCAGCATCGCGTGTTGATTTGAGCTGGCTGAGTGTCCAGACGGCCATGTCCGCTGGAGGGTTGAAGCAGGTGGGATGCGTATTGGATACTCTGCATTCAAAACCAGGAGGCAGTGGGTGCACACAGAAAAAGAAATACGAAAAAGGAATTGTGCAGGCTAAGAGAAATGACTTGGATGTATATTTGCAAAGCAGTGGTGTCTCTTACTCCCAACACACCAGCAGATCTGATGGCAGCTGGTTCAGATGAGTTCTTGCATATCGCTCCTTAGTCCTTCTGATTTTACCCCTTTTTCCCTGCAGATTTCCTTATCCAGATGACTGATCTTTTGATTACGGTTGTCTTGATTTTCTGTGCTAACACTTTTATCTTGTCATGCAATCGCGTCTGCAGGGTTTGAGAAGTTCATGAAATGTGCTTTTTTTCCCCCCTGCATGTAACAAGACATCTTTTAAATTATGGCCTTTCGGATCTGTTGTGCACGTATCTTCTCAAAAAAAGATGAATGATCCCGAGTTATCAGAAACATCGGTGACTGGAGTTAACACAAACACGATTTGTCATTTGTCCTTTAATCTGATTATTATTTTTTTTAAAAAAGCAGAATTACATCAGCCATCAGCCATCAGATGTGCTTTGATAAAATACTCTGATTTAGTGGTAAAATTCTTCATGGTCTGGCGTGTGCTGCACTTGTTTAATGAATCTTGCTACAGGAAACCCTTTTAAAGCGGAGGTTAGCGCTCGGCATAACATAGCAGCACTGTCCTGTAATTCTACTGGGCTTTTGACTTGTTCAGTTTTATTTTGAGCTCTTGGGTCGATCACACACGTTCCCCAGTGTCACCTATCTGAAATATTCAGTGATTCAGCTCACTCCTCCTGCCTACAGTCCATTTTCTGACCAGCCATGGTACTGTGTCAGATAGGGACGGGGCAGGGTGTAGCCAAGTGGGCCAGGGCCACAGAGAGCAAAGCGTGCTCCCCGAGAGCGTTTGGCCTTCGGATTTCCTTCTGAAGTGCTCTTTGCAGATTCCCCTCCCTTGGTGAATAAGACAGAACCCAAGTCGAGGCTGCTGTGCTTGAGCTTGCAGGCTAACTTGTGGCTCTCTTAGGTCCTTCACCTGTTGTGCAGAGTCCTCGATCCAGAAGAGCTCGGGGGGCTTTAGCTGGCCTCAAAACCACTGGGTGTTGAGTTTACAGGACAGTAGAAAGGCTTAAAAAACCAAATTCCACATTTCTGTTTTCTTTTCCGTTCCCCCCCCCCTCTCACCCCACACACTTGTTTTGTTCTCTGTCCCCGTGCAGCGGGAGACCGGTATGACTCCGAGCCCAAGTCGAAGTGGGATGAGGACTGGGACAAAAACAAGGGCGTGTTCCCCTTCAGCGAAAAGCTGGGCGAAATCAGCGACAAGATCGGCAGTACGATCGACGACACCATCAGCAAATTCCGCAAGAAAGACCGGGACGACTCTCCGGAGAGATTCAGGTACCTTCAAGAGAGGTTTTGAAGAATAGTTGTTTTAAGCCGTCTCTTTTAGAAATGAATACAGGAAATTAAGCAATTAAAAGCTAGCATGTAATCAAGATTTAATTTGAGAGGATTTGAAGGAGCTGACCTGGGAGATCTGAAGCAACAGAGCAGGAAACAGATCTCCCAGCTATGAAAATTCCAGAAACGTAATATAGTGCTGTAAATGTACAGCAAGGCTGCAGCAATGGATTCCTAATTCCATTAGGGTTTTTCTGTTCCTGGCGGGGCATGCTGAAGTCGGAGAGAGCAGTTCTGATTAAATTAGACGCCAAGGTCCGTTGCTGTTTTGTCGACGCGCTCGGTGTCTGAGCACCTTTTAGTGTCATTGCCTGACGTCGTCATCCCCACTGGCCTGCGAGCCCTTCAGCTGCAGCGGCTGGGTCCTTCCCACCTTTCACGTTGCGCCCCTCCTGCGTGTCCGCTTCACAGTGACAACGAGGACGACAGGGCGTCCCGAAACGGGCGGCCTGGGAAGCCGGAGTTCAAGGACGAGGAGGAAACGGTCACGACCAAGAGCATTCACATCACGCAGGCCATGGAGACCACCACCACGCGGAAACGAGGCGGGGTCCCCTCCAAGACGGTGGACCTGGGGGCGGCTGCGCACTATACGGGGGACAAGCCCAGTCCAGACATGGCGGTGCAGAGCGCTAACAAGGTACAGAGGGAGGCCGGCCACTGCCGCGTGAAACGGGAAACATGGTAGAGCAATTGCTGCAATCCAAGTCTTGTATGAGAACTTTGTCCCTTGTGAGAAAGACTTAATCCACACTTTAATCCCTCTGTAGTGGAGCAGAAAAACCCTTTTATACCACATCACTGAATCTTTGCAGACTATTCAGCTCTGAAAATGCTTCAGTCTCTCACACACTTTCACCAGTGTCGTAAAGTGTGGGAGGTGATCCCAGGAAACAAACCGAGCTTTCAGAAAGAGATAATCCTTCAGATAACTTCACGAGTACTTTTCTCATTACCCCAGCCTCACCAGTGCGGTCGCGTTAGACAGCAATCTGACAGCTGTCCTGAAAAGGGTCGTTTATTTATTCATCCCCTTATTTCTAATGGCTGAGACCATTATTGTTGGCTCCTGTCTTCTGTACTTCAGTAATGTTTGCGTGATGGATTGGAAGGCAGTGTAGCAGCGCAGAGCCTGATTACAGTCATCAAGTTCGGAATACGTTTGCCATACTGTACTAATTGGCTCAATAAGAATTATCTTCAGAATCAAGTCAAGAGAATCTGTGTAGTAATTTCTATATAATTAATAGAACAAACAGTTGTGGTGTTGGGGGGTGGGCTGATGGAGAACTACCTGTCTCCTTAATCATTGGAGTGTGCTGACTGATGCAGACTTAAACATTAATTCTGCCTGAAAGCCTTACACTGCCATCTTGTGACTGCTGAAAGTTACTGAAATGTTGTCCCTGATTGATATCCGAGAAGTTCTCCGATCTCCCTGTGTTTTCTTTTCTTGTGTAGTCTCAAGCTGCAGGCTCAGCTGCCACCCAGCCCCCCAGCGCTGGCTTGGTTGACTTCTTAATGGTGGACACGGCCGTGCCATCCAGTCAGCCACATCCCGCAGGTACAAATCAGCAGGATCTGTCTCTCCCTTCTGGAACTTTTCATGTTTGTCCGTGAACCTACAAACCACGAAAAGCAACAAATGCTGGGCACGCTTATAATACAGCAGTTTCTGAAAACTGGAGAAAAAAATTGAAAGAAAAAATGGTGCTGTCATTGCTATCCTGCATTTTTTTTTAGTCTTGAACTGGCTTAATTAAAGAAAAAAATAAGACAGTGTAACAGTTTTACCTGGAAGTGTTCAAGCCTAAATATGTATGAGTTTAGGTTTTGTTCTAAAGGTTGGTTAAAACCCCTGATAATCTCTTCCCATGATGTTGGGATCGCTGGTGTTCTGTATTTTTGGTTGTTGGGTGCTTGCATATATTTTTTTATAACTCAGGCATCGGAAGAAGAGTCTCTAGGCAGTAAGGCTAACTGCAACAGATGGAGCTGAATGTCTTGCAGCAGTAAGACCATTTAGCTGTAGCACCAGATGTTGAAACGGTCCCTTGTGGGGCTGGAGTGCTGCACAGATGTGCTGTCCCACCCTACTGACGTTTTTCCCCCGGCAAGCTAAACAGATGTGTTATGTCTCATCACATCTTTCCTACATACTTTTCACATCTCTTGACCAGCCTTTGTGATAATGGCTCGTCAAGCAGACGACACCCACACTTCAGCTGCCTCTAAGCTTATCAATAATGCTGTATCTCCTTTTTTTTTCCTGTGAGCTGCAAGCACATACTGTAGATTTAAGCCTAATATAGACAGAGATTAAATGATAAACATAGCTGTTACCAAATTGTTCCAATTCACACGGGTCTGTTTTTTTTCCTCCTGTAGGTGGAAACACAGACCTTATCGGAGGGTTCGCTGATTTCTCGTCACGAGCAGCTTCTGCTAGTTTTCCTTCAGGAACCGGTATGTCAAGCATGAGTTGAGACCTGCTTTCCCTTGTCATACTGTTCTGCAGTTTTAGTACTGTACTGTTTGGTACAGTGTAGTTTTAGTACAACTGGCACCAAAGCTATATTTTTTGTTGTAGACTCCTGTCCCATTTACATGTTTTCTAACATAATCAAACTGAAAAGGAGTTGACCCTCTTGCAAAAGAGGTGCCTGGATTAATAGATAAGGCTTAGAGAAGATAATAGCATAAATGCATGGGCTTTGAAAAGGCTGGGTGGTGTTGGTTGACAGCACAGGAAGTGTCTTGTAATAGCGATTCAGTGTTGAAGATGCTTCATTTGCAGGTCTTGTTCAGTGCAAGATTGTCATTGTGAGTGATGAAGATAAAAACTGCCTGAACGCCTGCCTGTAAGGATGTGGTGACACGGATGTCTGAGAGGCTGCATGGGCTTTGAAAAATGCCCCGCAGTGCTGTTTTACACGCGCGTGAACGAGCCCTGCATTGGCCAGGTCCTGATGCTGCAAGCCTGTGCAAAGGCAGCGCTGATGATCTCTGAGCAAAGATGTCAGTTGACGCTGGGCTGTTCAGTCTTGTCCTCATTACAGCAGAAATGCACCACTGACACATCATTGACCTTGAGGTTCCACTTTCAGCGAGGAAATGTGGTTGAAGAGGATTTCCAATGAAGCTGATCCATTTAAGAGCTGCTTTGGAATTCTGCGGTTGTTTATGTTCAGTTTTACCTGGGCTGTGTGACTGGCTGTACACTCTCCTTACCAGTGTATAAACACAAGAGTGCCAGTTGTTGAATGGAAATGCCATTGATGCCTGAGCTTGCTGGCAGAAATACCAGACCATTTTTGGCGACACAAAATGGTTTCGTCATCCCTGTGCCTTCCAAGAGCCCTGTCTTCCCAACACGGCCTCGCGGAAACTCCTGAAAAATGGATGAGGCCGGGGGAGCTGTCCAGATGGAGCCTCTACCTGCCAACGGTAATCGGGATGGACGGCGTCGGCTCCTGTTAAACACGACTCGTCTCCCCCCCAGCACCCCTTTCACAGCACCGCAGCAGGAAAGGTGACGCACGAGGAAGAACGCCGTCCGGACCGATGTGCTTGTCCAGCTTCACAGAACCTCGCCGAGCTGCCTCTTCACAGAACCCCGGGATTCGATTGGTGGTTTGGTCACGTTCTGTACACCACCGCCAGCTCTGTGTTTTTAGAAAGGACGGGCGGCTGGCTTTCCTCTGTTCCTTCTCTAGATGTGAACGTGCCTCCGGTATGCCCTGCGGTCCTGGTCAGAGTTCAGACTGCAAAGAACCAGCAGGAGATGTCTTTTGTCAGACCGGTTCAGGATTCAGTCCCATCTCCCTGAAGCCTTATTTGCCCAGCATCTGCCTCAGATAAGCCATGCACCTCTGACACTCAGCGGGAGATGATGTACTGAAGCACCTTCTGTTAAAAGCCATGAAACTGTGGTTTCTCCTACTTGTGATACTGGTTTACAGTGATTTTAATTTTTGAAGTGGATATAAAAATATCAAATATAGGGAAAAAAGAGGAACTTTGTTCCTGATTGCATTTATGTAGTGCTTTTCATTCAAAAGCACTTTTATGTATAGGACGAGGGGGCCCACTTCACTCACCACAGAAGGTGCAGGACCAGCTGGATGATCATTCCGAGCCAGCAGCCCCAGTATGCAGCAAATCCGATGGAGACGTGAGAGATTGGTTCACCAATTTAATGAAGGAGGAACTTCTGAGCAGACAGTACAAGCCCAGAGTGGAATTTAGTCAGGGCATGTGGGTTAACACCCTTACTTGTTCAGAAAGAGCCATGGGATCTTTAAAGACTTAAGTAGTGAGAACCTTGTCGTTTAGGTGGGTGTGGGTCAATCAAAGGACACCGACTACTACAGCACATTTTTCCTGGTTACTATCCTGGTGCTTTGGTCTGGGGGGATTTCTACTTCAGAAGAAACAGTGCCACCTGCTGGCCCTTGGATTCCACCTGCAGCAGTATCCTGCTTTTCTTACAGGTCTCCTATCCTAATACTGACCAGACCCGGCCATGCTCATGTTCTGAGATCTGATGATCAGGCTACAAAAAGTGACCTGCCTGCTTAACTGAGTGAAGCATTCATGCTTTTTTGGTTAAAGGTGAAAAGTCTAATTTAGTATGTAGTCTAAGCACTAGCCTTTGTCATTTTACATTCCTTTGATTGGTCCCTGACGTAACAAGTCTCTAATAGAATTCCAACCTTGGGTGGCCCTTTCCGTTCTTTCTCACTTCTATTGGACACCTTTTCTTTTTGTTTCCATGCACAGCAACCAGTGGGAATGGCGAGTTCGGGGACTGGAACGCCTTTGCCCCCGGCCAGCCAGTATCTGCCCCCCAGCCCCTGAGCTCCACGGGTGGGGATCTTTTTGCCAGCATGCAGTCCCCACCCACACCGGTGCCCTCCACCCCATCCAATGACCTCTTTGACCTTATGGGCTCCTCTCAAGCCACCATGACCTCCTCTCAAAGCATGAACTTTGCCATGTCCAGCACGCAGACCGTGGGCGCCAGCACAAACCTCCCCATGTCCAGATCACAGGTATGGGCTCCTCTGCCACTGCAGCATGGCCTGAACACTTTATCTTTATTAACAGTGTCCTGTATTTCCACTTGTCAAATACAGGTTTAAAATGTGTCATTTGCGCCGGTAAAAAAAATGGTTCAGTTATTTTGTCAGTGCAGTCAGAGCACGACTGCACCAGTACACTTGGTAAGAAAAAATTAAAACAGATGGCCATTTCTTACAAATTGGCAGGGTTTAATATTCTTTAAAGGTTTGTAACGCAGCGCATGTTTTACATGCTGCACTCTCCACGTGTGAAAACCCTAGCTGGCAGTGCAAATTGAAAGGGAATGAAGGATTTGGGCAGGAAGATGGAGGGTTAATGTACAGCGAGTCCCGTCGTGGTGCCAGATGTTTTCTCCCAGCATTCCTGATGGTCCTCCTCGGGGACGCCCGTCAGAGGGAGGGCAGAAGGAAATGGAACAACTCTGAGGCAGAAAAGCATTAAAATGAAACAAAAACCTGGTGCAAAGATGCTGTTTGCATGTAATAAGGTTGACCTAGTTTTAAATTGCAAGTTTTTTTTTATTTTGTTTGTGGCAAAAAGAAAAGTTTTGTCTTCTCTCAATTGATTGGATTTGACAAGGAGTAGAAAGCGAGTCTTAATTTTACCATACAGTGAAAAAAAATGTCGCTGTAGATTTTCGATGCTTTCAGTTTCCTGCAGTCACTCGGCTTTTTCCAGTTATATTTATAATTCCCCTATTGAGAGGTTTGCTTCATAACAAAAGATGGCTTGGAAACTTTTAAAGAACTAAAACCACAATTCTGTATGCTATAGTACCTGGGGGGTAATAATCAAATTTCAATCTATTGTGCTTTTGAATTTGTTCAGTTCTTCTGATCATTCTCTAGGTGTTAGATGGCATAAAGAAAATATACTGAAAAGAGTTTTCACAGATTATTGTATATATTTAAAATTAACTATGAGCATGACTTTACTTGAATTTTATTCATAAAAGGACCTTACATATACTGTACGTCCTTCTTTTCCAGTTTAAGACTCAGTTTAGTTTAGGTTTCATGCCTGGTATCAGAATTAATATAGCCTTTCTCTGGTTAAGGTCCTGATTTTTCTTGTGAGAAGCTTTGAAAGTCCTGATTGCTGATGTCAGGAAAGAATTTCCTCATGCATTCTACATTGACAGGCTGGAAGAATGCAGCCTTTTTAGTCTTAGAGCAGCGAACACTAAGAAGTGGAGCTGATTCATGTATTCAGAATCCTGAAAGACATTGACAAGGTCAGCAAAGTGGACATGAACCAGGAGACACAGGTGGGAACTGTGGAAATGCATTTAGAACCAAGAATGGGAGGTAATTCTTTATGTAGAGGGCTGTGGGAGGATGGAAAAGCATCCGCTTTAATAACAACTGTGTAACCAGCAACTTAACCTACCAAGGGTGCAAGATGGCCCCTATGGCGTCCTTTCAGATGGAACCCCTGCGATAAAACTGCGGTCTAACCTGCAAACCTTTTTATTCCTCTCTTGTCTTGTGAAGCCCTTGCAGAACCTAACTGGGCCTCTGCAGAAACCTGTCCCAGTCCCAATCCAGCAGATGCAGGGGGCTCAGAAGCCAGGAGCCAAGGCCTCCCTGCCTTCCACATGGTCGGACCCCAGCGTCAACATCAGCCTGGACTTCCTGTGTCCGGGCATGCAGCCCCCCAAGCCCTCCCAGCCATCCCTGAACACCATGATGCAGCAGCAGGGTAAGAGCCCCTGGCCCCCTGAGGATAGTTTATCTAGCCAACCAGGTAGCGTCTCTGAAAACCACGTGGCTCGTATTTTAGTGCAAGATGCCTGGATGCTCTTACATTTGCCTGTTCTTGAGACTGCAGCTCCCTTGCACACTAACACAGCAGCAGTCGCTGCACCTTGTGGAGGTGTTTCAGTAAAACAGCTGTATGGCTGCCTGGTGACGTGACTTGAGAGCTGCTGGATAGGAAGTATAACCTGTGTAGGTTAGCAGATCAGTATAGATTATTGATTCACTTCAGTGGTTTTCCCCTTCCCCCTGTAGAGCTACTCCATTGGTCTGCTGGCAGCAGTGGAGTGTTTTTGTTTGTCCTGTTGTTAGTCGGACCCATATGTGTGCGGGGGACACCCCTGGTGTAGGGTGAGCAAGCTGCACGTGCTGGATTTAAGTCTGCACTCTCGGGACAAGTCGAATGTTCACATAGGCTTTCTAGATGGAATTCAGGCATCTAATGCATTGCATGCGATTTTCCAACTGCGTCTCTAAACAGAGATGCCAGGCAGTCCCTTGGTGCGCTGTCTTTCGGCCCATCCCACTGAGGGATTTCATCGCAGTGGCAGGAAACCGAGCCTAGCCTCTCTCTGGGACCTTCTGTGCAAAACAAATACAGTAAAAGCCATCTGGAATTCTGTATCTGTGTCTCCATGAAATATTCTCTTTCAGTTAATCTGAGGCGATTCTGGGTTATATTTGTGCAGGCACAGGGGATCTTCCTAGTGATTCATTTTCCTGCGTCGAGTTGAGAATTGTTTTTGTCTTTTGCGGGGGCAAGGGACTGTAATGTGATTTAGCAGTGCACTCAGTCTCGGTGCATAACCGATTTAGCGTTTTCGAGGCTTTTATTTTAAATTGCCCATAATCAGAGAAACATTATTAGTATGACTGTGATGAGGAGCAGTCTGTGGGTGTTTTTTTTTTTTGCCCTTCCAAATTCAGTGCCCTCTTATTTTTCGCCCTACATCTTGAAATGGGAAATTAACTCAAAACATTTTTTAAGCAGTTGTGCAGTCAAAGCGCACTTTCCCGAGGTTGTGACAATGGCCCAAACACATAGGAGCTGCAGTTGTTCTTTAATGTGTGTTTTGAATGTCTTTTCTCACAGGTGTGCAGCCGCCCATGAACATGGTTGCCCAGAGCTTTGCGGGCATGAACCTCAATATGCAGCCCTCGGCGCTGCCCGGCAGGCCGCCCTCAACCCCTGTGATGCCAGGACCAGGCATGGCTGTGGGCATGGGCCCTGTGGGCGTGGCTCCGGGCCCCGTAGGTACAGTCAATCAGGGAATGATGAATATGAACATGGGAATGCCCCTGGCAGGAATGGGGGTGCCAGGCTCCATGGGAATGGGCATGCCAGCAGTGGGCATGGCAGCTGGCATGACTCCGGCCATGGTGCAGCCCAAGCAAGATGCCTTTGCAAATTTTGCCAACTTCGGCAAATGAAAAAAAAAAGGTCTGCGCAGATGAGCAGTTTTCTGAATATACAGTGATGAAGGAATATAAGAGCTGCACACAAAGAGTACTTGAAAAATATCAAATGCCGTCACCCGTCTTTTCCTTTTTTGTATCTTTAAATTGGTTATAACCAAGGACCCGTTTGGTTTTTTTGAAATATATGGAGGCTAATTTTGTATAGGGGCAAAAATGCGTATATGATCATATACTGGTACATTACTTTACAATGCAGTCTCTGCTAAGTCATCCCATTGGCAGCAAGTAGTTTGATTCATGTGAAAGCCAGGGGGAAGACAGCTTTACTCTCCTGACAAAAACACATAGCAGAGGTCCAGGAGAACTGAGAAGTCAAGTAATTTTGATTTTGTTTTCTTTCCTTTTATCCTTTTGTTTCCTGTCCCCACCCTCCTTTTTTTAACCTGTGAAATGTCATTCCATATATAACCTCGCATTGTCCATCGGTCAGACAGTGAATCAAAGAATTATGATGGTCAACTTTGTAAATATTTCTTTGGTTGTGAAAACGAATAAATTATTGCATTGCTGAAGAATTATTGAAAACGTATCAAGATCCAGATGGCAGACTTAACAAACAAAAAACCTTAGTATCTTTAATGATATTGTCACCAGAGACAGTCTTTTAACATGGGCAAACGTTTTTTCTGCTAGTTTACCATGCTTAATCCTAATGATCTTTGTACTTTATACAGTTATCCTGCATTCTAAAAGTGGGCTGTTAATATGAGAAAAAAAAGGAATAACTGAAAGGCTGTTTTAACTACAGGGATTCTCTGTGGCCTTTCTGATGGGTTTATTTTTTTAAAGTATGATCAGATTTTTTCATCCAAATAACAAATAACTGTAGTTTTAGAAGAAGCAGTATCCCCACGCCGGGTTATTGGTCTTTACTTTAATACGGGGGAACTGAGGGCCAGTCAGTTGCCTTTACATTGCCGAAAACGACCTCATCAAGGAAAGGCAACATTCAGTATTTATCACCGGCCATAATTGACATCCACAAAGTATATATGTACAAAAATATTTTTATTCCACACCCCAGATCCTCATTCAGTTTACTAGGTTACGTTTGGGTGGGTTTTTTTAACATGAATTATGCAAGTCTTTGTAACCGAAGAAGGAAGTGTGTGATTTCTGGCTGTCCGGACAGAGTGAGCCCAGGGGTGGTGGAGGTTGTCAGTAAGGGAGCCGTGCACAAGCACAGCTGGACACCCAGGGCACAGGGTGGGGGCACAGGAAGCTTAGCTGTGTGACAGAGACCTGTCGGGCCATGGGCTGTGTGAAATCAGACCTACACTGATGGGCAAAGAAGGTTGCACGTTGTTTGGTTTTTGTTCAGAGTGTATAAAAGCTTGTGTGTCGTGTGAGCAGAGGCATTTTCAAACGCTGTTGTGTACATGGCCACAGACAGACCAGCCTTCCGTCAGTTTCCAAGGCATTATACATTAATAAATGACCAAATGTTTATTTTTTTTAATATGATTATTCAAGAGGGGCTAGTTATTTTTTTAAAATATTTTCAATCACGATAGTTCTGTAACGTTTAAAATCTGTGGTGTGTGCTTTTAGGGGTGGGAGCGTTACTAAAAATAAAACACTATTAGTTATGCAAATGTAAAAGGAAACGAGAGCCTCCTCTTTCTTAAACAATGGAAATTTCTTTTCAATCCATTACAAGTCTGTTTTGATTGTAATCATAATGATCTTTTATGTATAACATTAAACAGTTAATTAAAACATGTTTGCAGGCTCATTATTTGAGTTGTATTAGTCCTGAATAGTGGGTCTGCTTTCTATTGTGGCTCATGAAAGAGGAACGTGCGAGTTTTAATAGGAGCTGTCAAGTCACAGACTGCTGTCCCTTGCTTCTCAGAACTCTGTTAATTGAAAACTGTGACACGAACAATGACATGACCAAGTACAACTTTCCCTGTTTTCATCCCTGGCTCTACTGTTTCTAATTAGATCCGAATTAAGGCAATATTAGCTTACAGGGAGGGGACAGTGGGTTGTGGGATGAAGGCTTTTCATTTGTTAAGCCAGGGATGAAAGGCAGTGTAATTAATGCTCCAAAGGTTTTTGATCTTTCAAGAACAGGGTGCATTTAATTTCTTATCAAAAGCCTTTCCTGCTCCAGAAGTACTGAACATTAATCCGGCCCGGATACACTGCCCTTCTGGCCTCCCCCCACCACCAGCACACTCCAGCTGAGAAGTGGGAGTCGGTGCTTTCTGGGGAACTAAACCATTTTCGACAGCCTTTGCCGTCTTGATCTGGAAATCTCTGCATGCTCAGTTCCAGGTTTCTTCCTGTGTTACATTCATGTGTTTCAGAATGAGACGACTGTGGTTCAAGTATCAGTAATATTTAAATAAAAAGAATTTGCCGAGCTGTTGGTAGACTTTTGTTTGATCAAGTGACGGTTGTTGATCTTCCGCCAGCAGCGTTTGCAGGAAAGCCAGGCTGGGAAGCTGAATTTGGGATGCCCTGGGGGAGTGAGAAACAAGCCAGCGACTGCAGGAGTCCTAAACCCTGGCTGTAAAGGTTCTGCCCATTTCCTGATCCAAACCAAGGGTCCCTGTGAGGTGGTGGACTGCTAATAATTCACATTTTGTTTTACTGAGTGCCAGTACACTTTGTAAGTGTCTATTGGTTTGGGACTGAGTAAACCAGAGCTCATTAAGAAGGGTTTTGCTCTGTTTTGTTGGGCTTTTTTTTGTCTCAGTTACTGTATTGATGCCAGTCTCAGGTTTTTCCATGTCAGTTGTTACTTTTCTGGAAGATCGGACAGCATTGGTCAAGTTGCAGTGCTCTGGCTGCGCTGTCCCTCTTCATCCACCGGTGAAGTGCAGGCCCACCTGGGTGACGTGAGCCGCTTGATCAGGTGGAGAAGCGAGAAATTACTTCACCAGCTGAATTAAAAGGGGAACTTGTTGATAGAGCAGTCTGGGTAGGCCAAAAGAGTCAAATTTGGCAGGAAACCGGGGGTAACACCCCTTCTCTTACAAGCAATGGGATATTCAATCGAGGTATTCAGGAATTCAGCTGAATTGTCCCATTCTGAATGATGGTACCTTCTGTAGCACAGTGTCCCTGCTCACGTACTGGGATGTTGGTTTGGAGATCTGGTCCAGTTGGGGGAAGAGCTCCACCTCCTGGTCCACCAACTCCACTTGCCTAGTTTTCCTTGGATACCTTCCACCCTAGTTTTGACCATACCCAGCTTTGCTTATTTTGAGATCAACCAAGAAGGTGGGGAAAACTGTGGGTTATTTATGTATATTGTATAATTCCTCCGATTGGCATCATCATGCAGTTGGCGTGGGCACTTCACAGCATGATTATCCCACTCTGTGATTTGTGTGCCACACTGCTATGATATGGAAATATGATGTGTGGAGATGTGGAATTGAGTCATTCTTCACAAATGCTGCTGAATGCTTCTCTTTGTGTGATGTTGTGCTGGTCCTCTCATTCGGAATGCGTTGGGGGGCGGTCTGCAGGCCTTGTCTTGGAGGTGCCAGTGTGTCTGAGGGTTTTCTGCATCCCTCATGGCAACGGCACCTGAAGAGCACTTGTTCAGTGGGTCCAGTGAAGTTAATTCCGACTGAGCCCATGTTGGGTCATCGAAAGTTGGGTAGCAATGAAAAGTCTGCAGACATATTGAGACCCCAGGGATCGGCACTGGAGACCCCCTGCAATAGGTGAAATCTGTCTGAGGCTCCAAAGGAGTTCCATTTGGCAAGTATTTGGATTTTTAAATAAAGTGGAAGCCGTCTGTTCCTGGCTTGGCTTCAGGGGCTGAGGAAATATGGCAGGGACAATGCAATCTAATATTTGCACAGGCATATTGTGTTTCTAACTGCTGCCGTGATGCTCATTAATATATTGATTGCAGAGCCCTTCCACCGAATCTCACTGATGTTCTTTGGGAGAGAGAGATGGGGAAGGGGGGGTTGCGTAGCCTCATTTAGCAGTTAAAGATCTTTATTCTTGGGGCTGGGCTGCCGATAAGACAGAACTGTCTGACTGCTGACATCTGCAAACCTGTGCCAGCTGGTCAGCTAATGAATATGCATCTGCTTAAGAGACTGCGGTTCATTAATAATCCAGTAGGCCTAGCGATGGCCTGTCAGCTTTAACACAGATCCAGGGCAATGTGCTGTGAAGTGTCACTGTCACATGCAATTCGGGCTCTGAATAGATCAACAGTTGACAATTCGTATTAAGTGCTCTTTTTTTTTTTATTTCCTCTGCCTGGCTTTTATTTAGAGCAGAGAACTTGGGGCAGAGGAGCAGGCAGGTCTGCCCATGCCCTGCTCTGTCATTAGCGTCTGTGGGAGCAAGGATGCTTGGCCTGCCCTTCACTGGATCTGTCACTTATTTTCTAGAAAGGGATATTTGATCAGTACCAAAGCAAGCTTGAGTCTTGTCCAGAGAGAAGGCGAGCAGGGCGAAGCTGTAGCCTCTGCCACTCTGCTGTGGCGCTGATGCTGTCTGCAACGGGTTTATTTTCGTTGTGCTATTCAAGGTCATCTCGTCTTGGAGGCAGTGGAAGCAAAGTGTCTTCCCCGCCTCATTCTTAAGGCTGTGGCATTGGTTTTTCACACCATCAGCGCTGCCTGCTTGCACACTGGAACCTCGGAGTGTTTGCGCTGGTTTAGGAAACTGGCTTTTTGTTTTGAGAAGTGGATCCAGTAACCCCCAGGATCAGTCAGATCCCCGCGACAGGTGAACAGTCTGCCTCCACTTCTAGACCAGAAACCACACAGCAGCATAATGCTGGTGAATGTCCAGATTATAATGTTTTGTTTTTTTTTAAATGTTTTTCCTTTCAGTACAGTTGGTGCTTTCTAATATTTTGACTGGTGACTCCACCTACCTCCGCCCAATAACTTGTTGCAAACAGCTAAAATAGCTTGATCAGGACAAAGCATGTGTAGTTCAAAGGCTGGGCTGCAATAATTCCGTTCTGAACTGTTTGCAACCCGGTCCCACTCCAGTCTCCTTGCCGAGAGCAGGGGTACAGCACATCCCGCCAGTCTTCAGACGCATGGGGATCTGGGGCTTGTTGTGTTCACTTTGACGGGCAACTCCTAATATTTTGGCCAGTGCATCGGTTTTACTGCAGACGAGAGCAGCTGGGAACTTCTTTACTTGGAGGAATGTGAAAGAAGGCATTACCGGGGATAAGTCTGAACCTCTTCTCTCACTTCTGCTTGTACACCAGCAGGGGCCTTTAGTGTAGCGCTGGACAGGACTAGTCCCGGTGGACAGGTTTCCCCAGGTCAAAATAGAAGCCAGAAAAATGCTTGTTGAACAATGTTTTTTCGTTTTCCCGGTTTCACTGAGCAATGCTTGAGTTTGGGAAAAGAGCACTACTGCTGGAGGGGCAGCACTGGGATTTTCACTTCCTCTGTGAAACGAGCTCCACAGGGCCTCCGTCATGAACTAAGCTGTTGCGATGCTCGTGCCTGAGAAACACGGCCTTGCTTTGCCCCTCTCCCTGGTGGCTGCTGCACTGTGGAAGCTGTCGCCCCTGGAGTCTCTGTTAAACAGTTACATCGGGCTGGGACTGGGTAGGCTCTAGGAACATGTCATCAGAATGTGTGACCATTGTCCTTTGTGGTGCCGGGATAAAGTGTGTACTGGTGTTTTAGCAACAAGCGGAAGAAACTCTGGGGCTTTAGATCTTATTTCTACAAGATCTGAACAGCCCGGAGTGCTGCTTCTACAGTGTAATGGAGACATCAGGCCTCTTGTGGTGTTTTGTGTAGTGAACAGAGCATTTTAGACTGGGATTCCTGGAAACCAGCAACCCCCGTTCTCCGCTGTGAATCTGCTCAGTGTTGCAGCCCATTTTAATGTGAAGTCACATCCCAAACCCCTCTGTTCCCCTGTGAGATCCTCGTGCACGGACCCTGACGGAGCAGGAGGGAGAGAAGGAGGTGGTTTCAGCCCCAGCTGCCTCTGCACTGTCCTGAAACAGGTTTAAAGTCCCTGACGGTCCTCCCATGAGGACAGGACCTCAGCCCAGTCTGGGATCTGGGACACACAGCATTGCCCAGTGCTCTCTCCCTGCTGAGCACATTCATTACAGTGGAACTTCAATACCGAATTGACCCCACCCAGGCACAGGCGAGCTTTAACCCTTTAATCCTTCTGAAATGCAAACGTGCCAGTCCTTGTAACCCCAATTCCAGAGGTCTTGCTGTGGGTCCTAAAAATGGGCATGGGTGTCTCCTGGTTACAAATCAATGTCTTCACCTCCATACTTGACCCAGGAAGTTACCAAAGAGATTCAATATTAAAGTGACACAGAGACTGATTAAACATTAAGAGCTTTTCGAAGGTTATTAATCATACATCATTTTTTTTTCTCTTTGTTTAATTTGCATGGCTACAGAATAACTAATGGTCCCATGTGTATACTGTGTGCGTAAAGCACTTGGCCATCATTCACTTTCCTGTTTCGGGGGAAAAAAATAAGTAAAGCTACAGCGATCGCTTCAAGGAATTGTTTCCATTTATACTGCAGGGTGGGCCCTTTTCACTTCCGACATGTTTGTTCCCTCAAACAGTCCCCGCGCTTGTGGAAACACCAGCTCGACGCGTATGAGAGGATAGAGCAGGGAGCTGCCTCAGTCTGTCTGTGGGGACTCCCTCAGGGGGTGAAGAGGAGAGGCAGAGGGGAGGAAGACAGGGCAGGGCGCAGGAGACGGGTGTGATGAAGGCAGGTTAGACGCGCTCAGAGAGGGACGAGTGAAAAGATGGCAATTTGAGGCTCTCAAATGAGATCAGTGCTAGGGGATGATGGTCTCTGATGTTCCTCCTGTCTAGGAGACTTGGGGCACAGGGAGGCCGGGGTTGACATGACTTGGGGGCTGGGGGGGTCTGCGGTTAGCCTGGTGAAGACTGAAATTGTGGACCGGCGTCCTTCCTGTAAGGGGCTGGAGTGGCAGGACACACGGGCCAGCCTCTGGGGGATGCGGGTGCTGCAGTGACCAGCAGGACCATGTGCCTCCACGTGTGAAGCTGCTGGACCTGCAGTGATTCACTCTATACCCTGGTGTCCATAATCACCCTGCAACTCACAGCTGGCAGCCCACTGAAGCTCAGCAGGTGTGAGCCTGGTCAGTACCTGGATGGGAGACCTCCTGGGAAAAACAAAGGCTGCCGCTGGAAGAGGTGTTAGTGGGACCAGTAGGGGTCGCTCACCCTGTGGTCTGTGTGAGTCCCTAATGCCCCAGTATAGTGACGAGGACACTACTTTAAAAAGGTGCCGTCCTTCACATGAGATGTAAAACCGAGGTCCTGACTCTCTGTGGTCATTAAAAATCCCAGGGCGTTTCTCGAAAAGAGTAGGGGTGTAACCCCAGCGTCCTGGCCAAATTTCCCCCTGGCCCTTACCAATCATGGCCTCCTAATAATCCCCATCTATGAACTGGCTTCATCACTCTGTTCTCCTCAGTGTGTGAAGAGCATACTGGAGCACTCACATCAGCCAGGTGGGGCTACACACGGGTGGAGAGGAGTCCCCATTACCTGTAAAGTGCTTTGAGCGCAGTGTCCAGAAAAGCGCTACAGTATATGCATGTAAGCAATTATTATTATTATTACAAGAGGGCTGTGTCACAGACGAGGTCGATCGGCTGAGCTGGAAAAAAATAGCTCCAGTTTGTGGTGGGCTGTTGAAAAATGAAGAGTGTGTACTTCAGTGTGGGTATTCCTTCTAACCAGAGAGCCCATGGACTCAGATCTCAGGTAGGGAGCCCTGAGAAAGGTACTGTATGTAGCGGTGCCCAGATCTGCACGTACAAAAGAGGAAATTATAACCTTTGCTCCGGATTACAGTGTCGGCCAACTAAGTATTAAACAGCACATACAGTATTCTTTATTAATGTGTGTGTGTGTGTGCATGCATGTTTATTTCTGCAAAGGCTTCCTGAAGTTTGAAAGCTTTTAAATGCTGTGGGATCGCTCAAGCTCTCGAGTCCTGTGTTTAGGGGGCGATGCATGCATTAAAGATGTAATCATGATCAGAATGTCAGAAACCATAAGTACAGCCAAACGCCATTTACAGCTTCAAACCTGAGAGCTCAATAATTCATATACCATTTATGAAGCCCTCAGAGAGGGCCATGTCATTTATAAGAAAGGGAAGAAAAGACAAACAAATGGAGTTTTTTTTTTAAACTCAAAACCACTGCCCCCCTCCTCTTCCTTTCTGTTCAAGGAGTGATTTCCACACTGGGACTTTCAACTTGTCAAGTTGGATTGCAGCTTGTATAGAAAAAAAAAACAAGGAAGAAAAAAGCTGTAGATGGAGAAGTTTGTCTCACTTCTTTAATTCATGTAGGAATCCTCTGCCCTCTCAGACTCAGGCTCTTCAAGGTAGATTCCCAATTAGCATGTATTCCGATCAGGACTGCTGTTCAATAATGTTTTTTGACTCAGCTGGACTTTCGGTTTTCTTAACTGAACTAATAACTTGATTTGACCGAATTGTTTTCTGCTCCTAACAAGTGGTGTTTAAGCTGCTTAAGATGATGAACGGGTAAATTTAAATCTCTGATGGTTCCAAAACTAGAAACAATTCCAAAAGGTCTAATTAGTGATTAGTTAAATCTTGGGCTCAATTAGGTCATTGTTAAAGCTCCATTGGAGTTGAAGCTAGCAGACGCTGAGGCCATTGGACCCCTGAACTGGGAAGCCCTGAATTTATTGACAAGGATTAATACCAAAGATGAAGTTTTCAACTAATTTCAGGACTCCCCAGTGCAGTCCTTGGGGGTAACGGTCCATCATGTTTTGTAGAACAGGAGGCACTTCTGCAAAAAGGGTGGTGGGGGTGTGGAACAAGCTTTTCAGCCATGTTGTTGAAGCCGATAACCTGGCTTATTTTAAAAAAACAGAAGGATAAGCTTTTTCAATCAGGACAGGAGATACGTCTTTACACAAAGGGTAGTGGGGGTGTGGAACAAGCTGCCTAGCCATGTTTTTAAAGCCGATACCCTGGCTTCTTTCAAGAAACAGTTGGATAAGTTCCTTGGATCAATTGCCAGAGAGGCCAAAAGATCTCCTCTCTCGGTTGTGACCATACTAACGTTCTTGAATCTGGTTCAGTCGCCTACAGCACAGGCCCTTTGGGAATTCTGATAGTGCTGTTGGTTTAAAGAAACCGAGTCTTGCCCCCAGCACAAGACGTGGGCACTGGAAAATCCTAATTTCTGTTGTTAAATCCAGGGGAATCGACGTTATGCGCCGAACACTTCGAGACCTGAAAAAAAAAACAAGCTCAAGCATTCGATGTACTCAAATGGAAAAAGAGAGATGTGGGCTGTGCAATTCGGTTCCTTCTCTCGATCGCTGGAGACGTTTCACCCCCACCCCGCAAAAGTAACCAAAACCCGTTCGAACCGTGTCAGATCTGCAGAACGGAGGCTGCAGATGGAGCCCCTGCGCCCTTGCTCTCGCTTTATTTCCTGCTGGACGCCGGCAGGCCAGGGGACGCGGGTGGGCCCCACCACACAGCGAGGGACAGAGGCCTGCTCGGACCTGCAGGACCTGGGGCGACAGCGCTCCGCCCCCGGGCAGACGCCACGGCCACTCTCGCAGGTCACACCGTGCCCCCGGAGGGGGAGAGGAACGCCATCTGGCAGGACAGAGGCCTCCCCGGGGCACACTCTCCTGCCGCCAGGCCGGACGAGAGACGACAGGGGGCCCGGAGGCAATCTTCCACAGGTACTGCCCCCCCCTGCTCGGAGCTCTCACAGGACCTGTCATTCTCCTGGCTTATCTCAAGAAACGCAAAGGGGCCCTCGAGTTCAATTTGGTCAATTTTGTAAGCGTTCCTTGGCTCCCCAAGGCGGAGCTGACGTGACCTCCAGAAATCATCTGGTGGAGATCAGCCGGGCTCACTCACTCCTGAGGCACACCAACGCCCCTCGACTGGCCAGAGGTTTTGGTTTTATGGGCAGTGAAATGAATCTTGGAACTTGCTCGGCTTCTTCGGAGACGTGCAGTACATCAAAACAACCCCCCATCCCGACCTGGGGCGGGATCGCTCCTGTCCTGTGCGTGGCAGTTTTCGATTAGCTACTGGAGAGGGCCTGAATGAAACAGCTCATCTGACCTCTTATTATTATTATTAATTAATGAGCTCAATTAAGTAATTAAGAACAGAGGGGGGAACGAAAACCTGAGAACTGGCTCTCCAAGGACTGGGGTAGCTCATCCTGAAACTACCCTCTCTTTAATAAAAACTCACCAGTTTTATCACGCTGAATAAACTACTTACGGTATACGCGCATAGCTGACATCCTATAGCGAATTTTGAAAAAAAACGACACTTTTTGGGGGCTTGAAGCAAGCTAGCACTCTTAAAAAAAGGAATTTGCGTAGAAAATAGAAAAGTCAGTACCTCGCTCCCTCTGCTGGCTGACAGCACTAACTGCAGGGAGCTCAGCGGGGGGCGTGAAAGGGCTTCTTCATTAAAAAGCTAGTGCGTCTGGAACAGACAAGAAAAACGAATTCGGATCAAATCTCCCCACCCTGGGTAAATGATAATTACATGGGAATCACCACTAAAACGTTTATGAAACAATAATCTACTGGCTTGGCCTCATTCAAATAATTCTTAGATATTCATCTAGTTTTCACCATTTTATTTAACCCTTATATACCAATAGCAATTTTTAAAACCTTCATAACCGGAAGCATTAAGGGTAGAAAGACATTTTATTATAATACCCCAGGTTTCTTCAAAAAAATCCGTAAATATCTTCACACATTTTTTTTATTTTTAGCACTTTGCTTTGTTGCTGCATGTCATTTTATTTTCTTTAATTTCTCATTGCCGTGTGGTCTCACTTCAGGCAACGCGTGAACGTTCTTTTTCTCCTCCGTGAGAAAGTCAGAAACGGAACTCCACAGAATAGCAGCACGGCGGCGCGTTTCGCCGTGCGTGGACCAGGCCGATGTGCGAGAGAAGGGCGCCGCTCTGCTCCGCCCCGGTGTCCCGCCCCCGTCCAGGAGCGACGTACTGCTCCCGACTCGGGAGGCTAGCTGTTCGGCCAGCGCCGCTGAAAACACGGGATGCCGCAATCAGCCTATAAATCCGTTTAATGTAGGTGGTAAACGTCATAAAACTCCATTTGATTCGGTTTTCCGGTGACCTGACGTTCTCTTTATACCTACTGTTCTAAATTGACAAGCAGTATATTTTCTCCCCGGATGAAGAGCTGGTTGACGTGCCTTCTGTGTACATGCTGGTAGTCCACTCTGGGCTTGGGCTGTCTTCCCCCGCCCTGTGTCCCGCTCTCTGGTTCAGTCCGCGGACCCGGAGCCGTGTCCTGCGCTCCTCCCAGGCCCGGCCCCTCCCTCTCCTTGCCGGGTCCGCCACACGCCTTCTTCCTCGGCGACCCGCGCAGCTGGCGGGCCGGCGTGTGCTCCCCAGCCGGCGGGGGCTCGCCGGCGGTCCTGGACTCCCGCGTCCTCGGCGGGGCCCCTCCGCTCCTTTCCTCCGGCGCCCCGAAATCCGGGGATTCCTGCAGCTTCAGCCTGTCGAACAGCTGCAGGACACGGACATGGGCGACATGATCACATATCGCTAAGCAAAGCCGTCTCCGGCTGGCGCTACCCCCCTGAACCGTGCCAGCAAGAGGGGAGAGAGAGCTCCCTGTCACTAAATCTCACAGGACACTGGCGAGACTCCCACTGCGCAGCAGTTAGATCCACTTGGTTAACACTGCATTCAATCTGGACCTGGGGTGCTATCTGTGTGGAGTTTGCATGTTTTCGCCACGTCAAACAGCTGGAGGACACAGAAATGGGCGACATGATCATTTGATTTCATTGTATTGATGTGCATTTGATAAACTTTAAACATGAACTTGATCAAATATCGCAAAGCCATCTCAGGCTGGCGTTACACCCTGAACTGTGCAAGCAAGAGGAGAGAGAGCTCCCTGTCACTAAATCTCAAAGGAAACTGGTGAGACTCCCACTGCACAGCAGTTAGATTCGCCCCTGGATCTGACTGTGCACTGCC